AAGTGTCACGTTGACAAAAGACAAATAGTTCACTGCTTTAGCCCACCGGTGTGTTGAAGCCACAACATTTACAATTTGAGTAGTACGACGTTTCGCTGGTAATTACAACCAGCATCATCGGGCAATTCGCCAGAATGGTGAGGCTCTGCTGTCTCCCGTTCTTATATAGAGCAGCAGCAGGGTGACGTCATCATTAACACAGTTAATGAGTTAATGATGACGTCACCCTGCCGTTAAAAGTCACGCACAGATAGATTCATGAATCCATTGCTGTACCGCCATCTCCTGGGCTCCTCACAGCCCAAGCCTGCCACACGTGGTATTCTCCTGTTATGAACACAAGTGGACATTCATTGCATTAACAGCACAGTTAATTCTACAGTAGAAATTGAATACCAATGTGTTCATTAATTCAGGTGGCCTTGAAGTGTAATGGTGGAATGAGATTTGATGGGTGTTGTGACGTTAGCGCGCTTATTTGGAGGTATCACGTGTGCCGTAGCCGATAGGGGCAGCACTTCAAGGCAGAATGAGGTTGACAATGATGGCAAGAGACACGGGGATTTAGAGGCTCAATAAGTTGGCACAGCGGAGAGCACAGTTGGTGCATCTGCCAGTCATCTCGGTCAACTCCATGGCACCCGGGTGTGTTTCCGTGACCTGCTGCCAGCGGGCCTTAAAGTGCACCTAGCCTGGCACGAGCGCCGTGGTGAGAATCACCGCCACCTCGTGGCTCTAACGGCGGCTGTTGACGGACTTGCAAGGTGCACGTGGAGGGGAGGCAGTCGTCATTTAACAAGGAGCAGGTGTGTGGCGTGTGTGGCGTGTGGGTGGGGAGTGGTTGATTGTGAATGGGGAGAGGATGGAGGAAGAAGGGGAGGATGGAGGAAGAAGAACGGGAGGGGGGAGCAGAGTAAAGTGGCAGAGCTCGAGAAAGGCCGCTGCTGCTGCCGCCGCAGGGACCAGAGAGTGTAAGTTGTTCGTGATCTGTAAAGCAAAGTACACCGGCGTGGTGCCAGGTGACGAGTGTGCGTGTGTAAAAGCAATTTTTGGGAACTACTGGAATTTTGTAAACACACTTTATTTCAGTAATATTTACTTTAAAACAAGTTTATGCATTCACAGCAGTGGCGTTTATTGTATTATTATCATTATTACATTTATTTTCTTGATTCTAACGCACAAACGTTTGAAATGTATCGTAATAAAGGACTCGGGGAAGGTAAGTTTCCTGGCATTTGCGGTGTATGTCCCTAAAGTTAGGCTCTAACAATCCCATCCTCGTACTAAACAGGCGCACTTCTGCTTAGCTGCAGAGAATGTGACAAGATCCGGTACGACAAAAAAACAAGATTAGCTTTTACTCTTACTGTAAATAAAACAGGAGGCGTTCAGATGTTCAGACACCAAAAGGATACCTTTTGCAAGGAATCAAGTCTGCATTAACCACACAGAGTTTTTTTCAGTTTTTTTTCAGTTTCATTTATTTGGTATAGCCCTGTGAGCCATTGGGCTCTTGAATTGGGTGAAACTGCAACAAACAAAAAACAAAAACATGAACAAGAAGACATCTTAAAGTGACTATGTGACTATGTGCAAACAGAAAATCCAGGAAAAGACGGCAAATATTCCACAAAAAGCACCGTACACCAACGCTATATGCAAAAATCCCAGTGGGATGCAAGTCAAACAACAACAACAAGCACAGGACAACTTAGATTAATGTCATCAGTCTAACTCCATACTACAACAAACAAACATGGCAAAACCAAAAAACTTTTCGAAATCACAAAAATAAAGCCATAAAAGCAATGTAACAGTGATCATAGGAACTGTGACCGAATTTTCACAATAAACGACATAAACAACATGTACCACTAAACCCTGCAGCCATAGCTGGCTGCATGAGTCACTCCACAACAGCAGGAGCATCAGTCGGAGTATCAACATTTTTCAGTACTTGTGATGAACATGCAAACACACATGCTGAGACTAGGCCCTAAAGAAAGATGTCTCTAGTGTAGGCCAATCAGTTTCAAAGACAACGTACATATAATAATAATAACCAGAGCATGTATGTTTGCATGTTCACCTCCAAGTACGTGTGGTTATTGCAGACTTGATTTTTTGCCAAGGTTTCTATTTGGTGTTTGAACATTTAAACACCTCCTGTTTCATGGCCAGAAATGGTAAAACCCTATTTTTGTTTTTTTATACTTTGTTACTGGTAAAAAAGGGCCCAAGAACGGGTACATTAATCAGGATGATGTATTTGGTTGTAAATATAAACTATGCAGCGTGTTGTGCCTTGCACTCACACGAACAAATCTGCCACGATGCAATGTAACGGCAAAATAAAAAAAAATGTAAGACAACATTAGTTTATTTAATGGAAACATTTCTTGATCTACTAAAGTTTTTTTTATGTTTTTCAATACTGTATCTACTGTTCGTGTAACTATTGATATGCCAATTTAAAAAAAACGAGGTCATCAAAATCGTTGTTACAAATGTAACTGTGCACCACGGTCGCGCAGTGTCCAACGCGTATCAGCCACCATCTCTCTGGGCTCGCTGTTTACGTGCTATGAAGAAGGGCCAGTGCCTGAAACCTCTATAATTATATACTTTTCATTTTTGTTATTGACGAATATGAGTTCATATATATCTCTGTGTGGGGTGTATGTTTAAGCATTGCGTGTAGTCTGGGCAGCTGCAGTCTTGTGTCTTCTTGCACGCAGAGTGGACACGCGCGCGCATTGGGAAACACGACGCTGGCTGCTGTGCGTGGTGCTTCCTCTGTCGCTGCACAGGAGCCGACGATGAAACGCGAGAGGAGAGGGAGGGTAGAGGGAGGGAGAGAGAGAGAGGGGGGGCGCGCCCTCGATTCATCCTCGCGTGTCACGCAGAGGCACTGCCCTATCAGAGCGGCAGCCACCACAATCATCGTCGTTGTCCGTCACCATCGCCAGAATTACACCCCCCACCACCACCACCACATTAGCAAGGTTGGCTACGTAAGGTGCGAAAGAAGTTCAACGTGCATCATCACCCGCCCGCCAACACTATCGTCATCCGACTACCACCACCACCAAAGGTAAAGTTCCCCCGTATAGCCTTCACAGACTGTTGGAGAATTCAATTTTAGTGAGCACACGAACAAGGGCTTGGAAGCCAGCACCAATCCCAACCGCCTTTGCACCAGGTACTCGTATGAGGCTGAGTCGACCTAGGGGAGGCCCATGGCTAGTCCAGATCATCATCACAGCTGTCAGTGGGTTCGTGGGGTGGCGCGCTAACCGCTGTGCCACCGCTCCCCGCCATCACCGACACCCCCACAATCACCAACACCTCACAAAAGACAAAGATCGCCCCGTGTAGCCTCAACAGACTGTTGGGGCAAGTGCTGTTAGCGAGCACCTATGAAGGCCAGCACGGCACACAAGGGGGTGGGTGGCAAACACCACGCCCGGCCGTCTTTGTCTCCCCAGTGGTGATGTTTACACCACACTAGGCACTCATTAGACGCTGAGTCGACCTAGGGGAGGCCCATGACCGGTTCAGATAATCGTCACTGGTCGTGAGCGGGAATCGAACTCGGGTGACCGGGTTCGTAGCGCAGCGCGCTAACCGCTACACCACCGCTCCCCACAATCACCGTCACCAATACTCACCCGACGTCTCACCATGCTCAACCGGTCAATCAGACACTGCGATAAAAGCCCGAGCCTACTCGCTCGTCCAAGTTGTTTTCTTATTTAACCAGATGAGAACTCACGAGTCAACGTTCGAGTCACCTTGGGTCGTTAAAATGACAAAATAAAAAAAAAGACAAATAACAAAAACATCAGAACTAAAAAGCAAACCGCATCACACGAGTAAGAAAAAAAATGTTGGATGTATTGCAAAAGCATAATTGCCTGCGGTGTAGATCGACTGGAGCAAATTACCTCCAGATTGACCACTGGCAAGCCAGCCCCGAGTCGGCTCTTCGCCCAGCCTCCCACCCCCTGCGCTTGCTAACATCCCCTTGTCATGCTCTGTTCACTGCTCAGTGCAGACGCTCACAGCCTGAAGCAGCAGCGAGGAGATTGTCTACGTCTCTCGCTCACTCTCTTCTACTTGCAGCGTTCTCTCTCATTCCATCTCTCCCCTGCCTCGCTAACTCTCCTACCCTCCACCGCTCTCACTCTCAGCTCTCCCTCCTACTCTCTCCACTCTCTCCACTCGCTACCCTCTGTCTCACTCTCTCACGCTCTCATCTCATCCATCTCTCACAAATCGCACTCTCTCTCTCTCTCTCGCTAACTCTCCCACCCTCCACCATTCTGCCTTTCTACTCCCGCTCCATCTCAGCTCTCCCTCCTACTCTCTCTCTCCACTCGCTACTCTGTGCCTCACTCTCTCATGCTCTCTTCTCCCTCCATCTCTCACCAATCGCACTCTCTCTCTCGCTAACTCTCCCACCCTCCACCGCTCTCCCTCTCAGCTCCCCCTCCTACTCTCTCTCCACTCTCTCCACTCGCTACCCTCTGTCTCACTCTCTCACGCTCTCATCTCATCCATCTCTCATCCATCGCACTCTCTATCGCTAACTCTCCCACCTTCCACCATTCTGCCTCTCTACTCCCGCTCCATCTCAGCTCTCGCTCCTACTCTCTCTCTCCACTCGCTACTCTGTGCCTCACTCTCTCATGCTCTCCTCTCCCTCCATCTCTCACCAATCGCACTCTCTCTCTCGCTAACTCTCCCACCCTCCACCGCTCTGCCTCTCTCCTCCCGCTCCATCTCAGCTCTCTCTCCTACTCTTTCTCTCTCTCCACTCGCTACTCTGTGCCCCCCTCTCACGCTCTCCTCTCCCTCCATCTCTCACCAATCGCACTCTCTCTCTCGCTAACTCTCCCAACCCCCCTGCCACTCTACCCCCGCTCACCCACCCCCCTCTCTCTTTTCCCCGCTCTCCCTCCTCCCCCTTCCCACGCGCTGTTCTCAGCCTTCTGCCTCTCCTCCTCCTCCTCCCTCCTCCTCATTCCCTCTCGCAACTCGGCCACGCTCGGAGCGCCACGCACGGCGCTCTGCACAGAGTCATGCTCGCGGCGATGCAGGTGACCTAGGGAGGAGGAGGAGGAGGAGGTGGTGGTGGAGGAGGAGGCGCAGGGCTTGTGGGGAAGGGAACGAGGCGGATCAGTGCCCCTTGGCCGGGACCCTTCTTCCCTCAGTCGGGGAAGCGGTCAACCAGCAACAACATCATCATCAGCAGCAGCAACAGCAGCAGCAGCAAGAACATCATCATCAGCAGCCCAGCGAGGCGGTGTCCCGTGTTGGCACATCAGCCCGCGAGGACAGGGGCGAGCGACCGGGATGGAGCAGCTCCGCGTGCCGCCGCTGCCGCCGCTGCTCCTGCTGAGTGTCGCCTGCTGCTGCTGCTCCTTCTCTCTGGGATTCGCCGCTCTCGGTACTGGGGGGGGTGGGGGTTATGGGCACGATGATCGGTGTGTGTGCCCCGGTGTCACCGCGCACACGCTGCTCATGAGCAACACCGGGTTTAGTAGCCCGCGGCACCAACTCGGCGGTCACTCGCAACGTCGCGCTTCGATGCGCAGCGTGATTAAGGATCCAATTGCCATGTGGAGTCATACGGCCGCGTGCGCATGACAACTCTGCATCGCAAGACTACGTGCACAGAGAGTGTGACACGCGCATGATGTTGATGCCTACACACACTCATGCGTTATTTCTGTTGTATGTAGACAAGAGACAGTCATAGGTAGAACGATTGCCTCGACTTGAACAGGGGGAGGGTGGGTAGGTTGGCAGGGAATCGACAGCACGGAAGACGGGGGAGGAAGTTCTCTATTTCGGGACCGGCAGAGGAGAATGAGTGACATCCCCCACTGAGCGAATGTGGATTGGAGAGAACGTGAAGGGAGTGAGATGGCAGGACAGAGCTGGAGCGTGTGGAGGAGAACAGAGGGCGATGAGCGTGGAGGGAGTAGAGTGAGATGAGAGGGGATATGGGGCGAGTGTGGAGGGGAGTGGAGTGAGATGAGAGGGGAGAGGTAGGGGAGTGTGGAGGGGAGTAGAGTGAGATGAGAGGGGAAATGGGCGAGTGTGGAGGGGAGTGGAGTGAGATGAGTGGGGAGATGGGCGAGTGTGGAGGGGAGTGGAGTGAGATGAGAGGGGAGATGGGGCGAGTGTGGAGGGGAGTGGAGTGAGATGAGTGGGGAGATGGGCGAGTGTGGAGGGGAGTAGAGTGAGATAAGAGGGTGAGAGTGTGGAGGGGAGTAGAGTGAGATGAGAGGGTGAGAGTGTGGAGGGGAGTAGAGTGAGATGAGAGGGGAGATGGGGCGAGTGTGGAGGGGAGTAGAGTGAGATGAGAGGGGAGATGGGCGAATGTGGAGGGGAGTAGAGTGAGATGAGAGGGGAGATGGGGCGAGTGTGGAGGGGAGTAGAGTGAGATGAGAGGGGAGATGGGCGAGTGTGGAGGGGAGTGGAGTGAGATGAGAGGGGAGATGGGGCGAGTGTGGAGGGGAGTAGAGTGAGATGAGAGGAGAGATGGGGCGAGTGTGGAGGGGAGTGGAGTGAGATGAGAGGGGAGACGGGGTAGTGTGGAGGGGAGTAGAGTGAGATGAGTGGGGAGATGGGCGAGTGTGGAGGGGAGTAGAGTGAGATGAGAGGGTGAGATGGGGCGAATGTGGAGGGGAGTGGAGTGAGATGAGTGGGGAAAGTGCGCGGAGGGGAGTGGAGTGAGATGAGAGGGGACATGGGGCGAGTGTGGAGGGGAGTAGAGTGAGATGAGAGGGTGAGAGTGTGGAGGGGAGTAGAGTGAGATGAGAGGGTGAGAGTGTGGAGGGGAGTGGAGTGAGATGAGAGGGTGAAAGTGTGGAGGGGAGTGGAGTGAGATGAGAGGGTGAGAGTGTGGAGGGGAGTGGAGTGAGATGAGAGGGTGAGAGTGGTAGAATCCCACTTGAATATCTCCACACTTCGATAGGCAACTACAACAACCTCACACGATTCGACAGCATGTCACTGCCTCGCCGCGTCACCGTGTGAACCATTCATCAAGACTTTAATATTCTCACAAATTACCTAACAGACTGGCGGAGTTCAATACCCCAGCCTGTTCCACCGTCGCCTCCGTGGTCAGCGTCTCGCTGTTGTTGTTGTTTGACTTGCATCCCACTGGGATTTTTGCACACACAGCGTTGGTGTACGGTGTTTTTTCTGCATAATTTTGCTATCTTTTCTTGGATTTTCTGTTTGCACTTAGTCACATAGTCACTTTAAGATGTTTTTTTGTTCATGTTTTTGTTTTTTGTTTGTTGCGGTTGCACCCGATTCAAGAGCCGAATGGCTCACAGGGCTATACCTAATAAATGAACTTGAACTTGAAGTGCTGTTGAGCATCGCGCAAACCTCGCTGCCGTTCGTCATTGCCATCATCGGCCGTGGGCAATCCACTGCTGGATGAAGGCCTCTTCAAAGCTGCCGCTCGCCTCTGACGATCGTGCGATGTTACCGATCCACCGAGCGCCTCCCTCACACGAACTGATCTCGTTTGCTCCGTCTCCGCGTGCGTGGAGGGACTGCCTCTCTCTCGCTCTCTCTCTCTCGCTCTCCTCCGAGCGCGTTCCGTTCTTTTGGCTGCCATTCCGTTGTTACACTCGACCATCGTCTCTTCCCGACATAGCGTGCCCTGCTCAAGCCCGTTGACTTTGTTTTCTTTTAATAGCTTGGATGATGGTGGTGGTGGTGATGATGGTGGTGGTGGTGGTGATGATGATGATGGTGGTGGTGGTGATGGTGGTGATGGTGATGATGGTGGTGGTGATGATGGTGGTGGTGGTGATGATGGTGGTGATGGTGGTGGTGATGGTGATGATGATGGTGGTGATGATGGTGGTGGTGATGATGGTGGTGGTAATGGTGGTGATGATGGTGGTGGTGATGGTGGTGATGATGGTGATGGTGGTGGTGGTGATGATGATGATGGTGGTGATGATGGTGGTGGTGATGATGATGGTAGTGGTGGTGGTGGTGATGGTGGTGATGGTGGTGATGGTGGTGGTGATGATGGTGATGGTGATGACGGTAGTGGTGGTGGTGGTGATGGTGGTGGTGGTGGTGTTGATGGTGGTGGTGATGATGATGGTAGTGGTGGTGGTGAGTAAACTACGTGTGCGGATCGCCGTTCCGCGCGTTTGCTCCATCGCTATTTCGATCCCCCAACATCAAATGTCTCCCTGGCCGTACTTCTTCTGTGCGCGGGTTTGTGTTTTTCTTTCTTCCTTCCGGTCGTTGTCTTCGTATTGACGTGTTCGCTAACGAGCGTGCCCTACCGAACCCCACGCGTGCAATGTGTGCACAGCACGCGCACGGAATCGCAGCCCCACATGTGCAGCTCGTCGACCACACGATGCTCGGCCGGGCGAGGCTATCGCTCGCGCAGTCTCTGTCAGCCACGACGAGGTCAATGTAAATCGCCGCGTGTTGATTCACTCGCGGATCGATCGAGCGAGCGAACGAGTTCTGAGAATACCGGAGTTCACCGATATACGGAGAGCGGCACACGGGACTGGTGCGCCGCGCTGGCGAGATGTTAACTCCCTCGCCAGGTATACAGGAGGTCGTCGTGCTCCATGCCCACCCTGGCGCCTGTTATATATTTGGAGTTTGCATGTCTCTGTCTCGCGCCCCGTGGTTGCGTGGAATTTTTTCCGGGTGCTGCCGTTTTCCTCTCTCCACGTTTAGGCTACATGCGTTGAGAGTTTTCTGGCTGCTATACATTTGCACTTGATGAGCCACTTATTTGAGCTCTCATTTGCGGCCGGGTCGCTTCTGAAAAAGAGTTACATAGCTCAGTGGGCTTTACCTGGTAATTTGTATTTTATGTCTTTAAACAATGACGAAAACCCGTGCCTACGCGTGCCACTTTTTTTGCAACGCTCTTCCAACACGCGTGGCGCCCTCCCTCGGAATTCATTCACTCGGCCAGAATTGATCACCTTCTGGTTACCTTTTGTTGTTTACCTTCGGAATCCGAATCGGCACAATTTTTCCCCGGCGGCTGTGGAGAGAGAGGCTTTCATCCAGCAGTGAGATTGACCGTGACTGCTGCTGCTGATGGTGATGAAAGTCACTCGGAGCAACACAACATTATTCGAACGTTGCGTGTATACTGGATGCTATTTAGGAGATATGTTTGGGCCCCCCACCCCCCTCCACTCTACAGACGCAACACTAATAGCACGGTTAACGCTTTCAACTCGAGTCGGGATGCGTGAGAACAAAGTCCGGTTGTTTTTCTGAGCCTCATGTGCAGGCCTATTTAAGATCTCACTTTCGCTCCTAGGTCGGTAGGTTCGGGCAATGTATATATCGCTGTTGTTATTCATTCGGTTAATCGATCGGTCGATTACAGTTTGAGACGTTTATTGAGCTAATCCACGCAGATTGTCGCAGGAAGTCATTTAAAGCCCCAACATTCCACGTGTCCTCCAATGACGTGCACGGCCCAGCGATTAGACATAGTCACCAATCATGATGGAGATATTTTTCGCGCGGTGGTGGCCACGCACGTGGCCTGTAACTCAGCATTGTGGAGGCAGCAGCCGGGGCTAGTGGATCTCACACAGATGTTGTGAAACTCCCTTCTCTTTTTAAATCCTTTATATTAAGTTCACTTGCTTGCTTGCTTGTGCGCTTACGACCGTGCAAATATTTCGGTCGTTTTTTAACCCACTTCCCGTGATCCAATCGAGCTGCCATTTTGCACACAGACTCGTTGTGCGTGACAATGTATTTTTGTGAAAAAACATTTCCAAAATTTTACACGTTTTTAGGAAAAAAATAATTATATTTAATTACCAATTGCTTAATGATGGCAGCCATTCATCTGACCCATAGGTGGCAGCCATCTCAAGCCAGAGGACGAGAGGACTCTAGCCGCCACGCATATAAAGGGTTTATGGTGAAAAACTTTGTTTTTACGGGTTAATTTTTATGGTTTCGAGGAGGTGCTGCAAATGTGGACCTACAGCTTATTCCGTCTGTATCGTATAGAGGGCTGCCCCCTCGCACGCGTATGCCTCCTCTGAGTGTTCTGGTTTCACGCCATAAGTAAACACTCATCATTCATTGGCCGATAGCCCCTTCCTGTATAGAGGACGGCAGAGCTTGGAGCAGCTGTTAGCTGCCGGCTCGCCACGTGGCTGCCTTCCTGCGGCTCCTTGTGCCTCTTGAGTCATGCCACATCCGCCTACATCGCATTTATATGAAGTCCATCTGCACAGACCGGCACAATAAGACGTTGTTGTACCGTAATTGCCATGCCCCAGCGGTTGGTTTATGAATGTGTTATGCCTCGGCACATCGGTGTGATGCGTCCGTAAGTTCTGAGTATACGTGAGTATGCACAGGTGCAACACGCACGGTGCCAGTATTAAAAAGACAAGA